TTAATTTTTCAAAATTGACATCAAATCCAATCGTTAAATGGTAAAAAGAGTTTAAAATACATCATTTTCCAACCAAAACCAAAAGAAATTCATCATGGTCTTAAAATACTCATTCTCAAACTAGAAGCACTACCAGGGTGTATCTAATTTTCGGAGAGAGGATTCATCCTCGACTCGGTTTTATAGGACTTTTATTCTCTAGCAATATTTATTTAACTAAAAATTGAAAATTAGATACTATTTTGTGAGAATGTCAACCATTGACAGAGTCTCTGGAACCACCGCCGGCGAACTTGCCGGATCTTCCGCCGAAGCAGTTTCCGGAGTCGCCACTCCCTCAATTGGGCTGGTTACATTTATGGGTAGCCTTGTGCTTTATGGATTTGTCCTATGAGGATTTGGGGGCTTCCATTGATTTGTGGCCGCACCTTCCGCTGCCTTTGCGCCTAAACTATTGATCCTGGGTTCGGCCCACTAATCATGCCCAACATACCAGTTCCACAACCATTTACCGGAGACTTTAAGATATGACAGGAGAAGATGCTCTTCTACCTAGCCTCGATTTGATTTTCCATGTTTGTGCTACATGATGGCCCAACAACCCCAGAGCCTGATGCAAATAGCCGACGCATACGAACTATTCATCGTGGATACATGAAGACTACTTGACAAGGAACACCATATTATTTACTCTTTTTATAATGTCTATTATAAAATAAATAGTGTGAAAGGGTTGTAGAATGCCTTTGAAAAAAATTATAAGTCTGAGAATATTGGGTCTAAAATATGTGTTGTAGCCCAATTTATGGACTATAAAATAGTAGATGGCAAGTTTGTCATTGAACAAGTGGAAAACATTTAATACATAGTCCACTCTGTTATCGATGAGGAGATGCCACTACTAGAAAAGTTCATCACGAGTGTGATGATCAAGAAATTACTCCCGAGTTGAAACAACTTCAATCATGGGCTGAAGCATGAGTTGAAGCAAGTAGGACTTGAAAATTTTGATTATCCAAATCCGGATAGAGAAGCACAACAGAAAACAACACAAGGCTAAAGAAGGAGATATGCCGAAGCCAACTTGGTTGGAGATCCCTCCAAGAAATGTGCACGCTTGAATCAGACGGACAAGGGCAAAGGTAAGACCATACAATCCAAGTTTATAGGAAACTTTTTTAACTATGGTAAAAAAGACACCAAGTTAAGGATTGTAAGGCATCAAAAAAGAAGAAACTGAGTTCCCAACTGGTTGAGATGAGCCGCCGGATTGATCCTGACCTAAAAAATGACAATCTTGTCGTTGTTGTGTACAAAAAAAATTATGCGAAAAGCCTGAAAGTGTGGTTTATCAATACCGGAGCAACCTATCATGTTTTCTCCAATAAGACAAACATCTCAACCTACAAGGAGATCGAGGAAAGGAAGTTGCACATGGAAACCATGCAACTTCTGAGGTCCAAGGTGTGGGGAACGTGGTGCTAAAGATGACCTTTGGCAAAGAGCTGACCCTGAAGGATGTCCTGCATATACCAAACATTACGAAAAATCTCGTTTCAGGATCATTGCTAGTTAGGCATAGATTTAAACTTGTCTTTGTAGCAGATAAATTGTCAAAAAACGAGATGTTCCTAGTTAGGGGTTATCTTACAAATGAGTTGTTTAAGTTTAATGTAATGGTTGTGGGCCGAGAATCACCTACTTATAATGGAAATGTTACTTCTTCTGCGTACTTGATCGTGTGTTCTAACTTATGACATTGTAGACTAAGTCATGTAAATTTAAATGCTATAAAAAGATTAGTAAAATATTAATTTACTAGATATAAATGAAATAAACACTCAAAGCAAATGTGAAGTTTGTGTTGAGGCTAAAATGGCATAATTACCTTTCCCTTATGTTGAAATGAATACTAAGTCATTAGAATTCATTCACACCGACGTGTGTGATTTAAAATTTGTGCAACCTAGAGGTAGAAATATTTCATCACCTTTATTGATGACTAGACAAGGTATTGCTATCTTTACCTTCTAAAGGAAAAGAGCGAAGCAATTGAGGCCTTTAAAAACTTAAAAATTAAGGCAGAAAATCAACTTTGATGTAAAATCAAGATAGTTCAAGTGATAGAGGTGGCAAATATGTGACCCTCTTCGAAGAATTATGTGATGAAAGTAGCATAATTTATCAGACAACGGCTCTATATTCACCTTAATCAAATAGCGTTGCGGAATGCAAAAATTGAACACCTAAGGGAACGATGAATAACTTGTTGATAAGTTTAGGACTTCTTCAAAACTTGTGGGGGAAGGCAGTACTGATTGCAAATTATATCATAAAAAGGATTCCACTTATGAGTAAGGATGTTACTCGTGAGGAACTATAAAAAGTCAAGAAACCTACATACAAATATTTCAAAGTGTAGGGGTGCCTAGAAAAATTGGAAGTTTCACCTCCAAAGTAAGTCACTATAAAAAAATGGTACATTGCATATTTATCGGATATGCACTAAACATTAGGGCTTATCATTTTATAGTTCACAAATCAAAAATCCTCGAGATGACTGATCGAAGATTTTTGGAGAAATTTAAAAATATCTTTTAATATACAAAAAATGATATATGTATAAAATGAAAATTTTGTCGTGCGTGTTCGTGTAGTAACTCCAAAAACTTTTGTCAAAAATAAAAATTCTCTTTAACCGGAGAGTGTCTGGGTTGAACTCAGGGAATATGCGAATATCTTATATTTAATTAGAAAAAGTGCAATGAGTTAATGCAATCGAAGAAACTGAAAACATAAATTGCAGAAATTAAATATAACTAAAAAACGATAAAATATACGTATCTCGAAAAGGATGAAGCGAGGCGTTTGTGTCTGACTTTTGCGTTCCTTAATGGCTAGATTTTCATGGATGAAATGAGCGGGATGACGATGGCGTGATAGCGAAAAATATATGTATAATTGCGGGGCGGCTCGGAGTAATGAACGTGATCGCATTTGCTCGCTTAAGCCGATTCTCAACTCGGTTGGTACTCGACCTTAGGGGATTTACAACGAGGCTTCAGCGACACCCGACAAAGAACATTATAAGCAAGAAACTCTATTGTCACTAGAAATTTCAGTGACCCAATAGACCACCGCCTATGCCCCATGAATTATTCCTCCAACCGTTCCGCTAGTGGCTCTGCCCCTCTAATACCTCTCTTTAATCGGTATCGAATTCAGAACAGCAACTAAGCAGGTCGACAAGGCTCCCACGTACTTAGCTACGTTGAACTACCCGGAATCTATTTGTGACACGAAACAGGGCTGAAATAGTCGATTCTTCTATCGCCCTTCCGCAACCTTGCCGAAATCTAACTTGAACAATTCAAATCGAACATGGAATTTTTGGGTGAAGGTGAGGTGGAGAAATATGATAGGAATTCTACTAGCTAAAATAATATGCTGAAATTAAAAGAAAACAAGGAGAAAATCAGTTTGCTCGCGACACAAAACCGAAAATCTCGTATTATTAAACTAGATAAAAATATGGAAGAAAATAAATAGAGAAAATGGAGTGTATGAAATGTATATTATTGTGTATATATGGTGTATATGTGTGTGGGACAATTAGAGGGGATATTTATAGGGGGGAATGCTTCTAGAAGCTTGGCGGTTACAACCGCCAATAAATAACTACTTTTAAAAATAGCTACTAACTACCTTTAAAAATAACCATTAATAACTAACTCTAAAAATAGCTATTAATATAACTATTAATAATTACCTATTTTCTAGAAGGTTCTAAAATAAAAATTACACAAAAATAGCCAAAAAGTGGCTAAAAAATAGTGCATGAATTTAATTAAGGGAGGTGGGAGAGTGTAGTAAATGGAGGAGCTGAGGGTGCAGTAGATATAAATGCAGTGAAATTATGTGCAGGAATTATTGTCGGGGCGCAGTAAATGCACCGCTGACCAGTGACAAGTAATACAGCTGCCGCTGACCAGCGACAGTAATTACAACCGTCGCTTGGTTTCTGCGCTCATAAATGCAGTCGCCGCTTGCCTTCCGTGCTCGCGCACTCCTATGCAGCTTCCGCTCACTTTCCATGCCAGTCGCACCAGCCGCCGCACTTTCTGTGCCAGCCGCCACTTGCCTTCCGCACCAGCCGCCGCTCACTTTCCGTGCCAGCCGCCGCTTGCCTTCCGCACCAGCCGCCGCTCAGTTTCCGCGCAAGCCGCCGCTCAGTTTCCGCGCAAGCCACCACTTGCCTTCCGCGCCTATAAATGGAGCCGCCGTATACGGATTAATGGACATAAAATTCCGTTTCGCTCAAATTTCCGTGCAGCCGCCATCAATTTCTGCACGCTGTCATCGCTTTCCGTGTGGCCGTCATTGCTCACTTCCATGCAGAGATTTTCACTCCGCTTACATTTCCGTGCAACCGCCGCTTGCCTTCCGCGCTCGCGCTAGCCGCAGTTCACTTTCCGCGCAAGCCGCCACTTGAATTCCGCGCAGCGGTTGACTTTGACTTTCACGCGTTGACTTTTATACGTTGACCGTTGACTTTCACAAGATGAAATACATACAATTATTAGAATAAATTAACATAAATAATACCAAAATTCGACATAAATAAATAAATAATTAAATAAATATAAGCTATAAAATATGACAAAATCAAAAGTTATCAAACTCCTCACACTTAACCTTTATTCGTCCTCGAATAAATTCAATTAATGAAATTAAGAACTCAATATTGTCGGCAATATCAACGGAGGTGTGTAAGTGAATCTTAGCTAAAGTTCAGATCCTTAAGCCTTTTACGCATTATTGCTCATCTGCAAAGATTCTAAATTATGTCTCCCGAAACATTTTCAAACTTAAGTATTCAGAGTAGCTTCTAAAAATGTTGCGACGACTCAAAGCTTTAAATAAACCGTCATTATAAATTATAAATTAAGAAACAAGGCGGTCCGATAGACATTGCTACCGATAATAAATTAATTTTGACATTTTTCGCGTTTATTTTATTTTTTTTTTTTGCCAAGTCAAGTCGCATATAAAGATAATCGGCATCCTCCTCACACTATTCGTTCGTCAATCCCATTTTTAAGAAAAGTTCATTCATCTTCTCCACTAACAAGGGCAGCTAAATAGACGAAAGTTCTAAAAATTAGACTAAGTACGGAATAAATGAAATGAATGAGATATCAACCAATTTTATCAAAATTCCGATTAATACTCATACTCAAAAGAATTTCAATTATTGAATAGATTCAATTTCAAACTCAAATTAAGTATAATAGAAATCGATTGACTCGAGAAAATAACATATTTGACGGCTAATTTTATTTTAAATAAAAATAGATATAATAAATATAAAATAATTTATTTCAAAATAAATTAGACAATAATAAATTACACAAAATAAATTAATCGACATAAATTAAATAACATAAATTAAAAATCAATATGAATAATTTAAGCCAAAATAAATTAATTTCACATAAATTAATTAGCACACAATACAACACTTATCCTAAGCTAATCAATCAAACACAGGCCTGGTTACAATAAATAAATAAATAAGCCAACATCTTCACCACAGTGGATTAAACTAATGGTGCTAAAAAAAATTAGATTAAGAAAGAAAGAATGAAGCATCAAATTAAGGGATCATATTATATTACAAAAAATCACAGCACAACTAATCTAACTAAACTAAACTAAAGCCATCCTACTACACCTGTTCTGCAAAATTTAAAACCAATGCTACACTAATTACAACACTACCGCAGTTTATCATGATCAATCCAATGTTTACATAATTAATCAATAAGCTACTAAAATGAATTGAATAGCATCATACCAGCCAAAAGCTAATGAAGGGTAACATTTAGCAAAACACACTTTCTAATATGAGACTAAAGAATGCACTATCTCAACTACTTCCGATTAATTAATTATGTGCTAACTTCTAATCACACCGCTAATCCCTAAACTAAAGAAGAAGAAAAGTATAACTTAACAATTATCCCATCAATAATACTCAGCAGCAGAAGATTTCTAAGACTATCTAGTAGGCTAGCCTAATGCAATCACCAAGTATGCATCAACTAAATTAAACATGCAGCAGTATATCTAACAAAACTTAAAGTGAACAACATATTGTATAAGGCTAAAAACTATAGCAGAACACCCAACTAAAAATACAAAAGAGAAAATATCTAACTAGTTAAGCTAACTAATTCTACACTACCTCAACTAAAGCCGACTAAACTAGCCTAAAATTGGTACAGTTGAGATCAAAGATGAACCGAGCAAACTAAGTAACAGTAAGCTAAAAAAATGTACAACTGCTCTGAAAATTAACCTAATCAACTAGATTACAACTACTAATTTATCTAAGAAGCAATTATTCTATAATCTAACAAATTAGCAATCAATAAATAAGCCAACATAAATAATTGAGAAGGGAATCAAGAACTTCCCTGATTCATGTCTTGTGCAGCCAGATTTTCTTTTTTTTTTCAAAATTTTTGGTGGCGCCGATGACTTCCCTCCTCACAGTTGAATTGTTGTTCGCCCTCGAACAACCTTGAGTAAGCTCGGTAGGGAATAAGTCTTCGTGCTTGGGAATTTTCAAAGCAGCCTCCTCCTCAGCGTCAATTCACCACGGAATGAATCTGCAAAATTTCAGATTTTGCAACCACCAGCAGCTGTTGTATGCAGATTTTTATCGAATGCCCTCAATTATCAATCCTAAATCAAATCAATCCAACACAACCTACAATCAGCCCTTGGAGGTTGTTCGTGTCTTGTCTAAATTATCGATTAATCCTAAAATTATCATAAGAAATAAACTCACAACTCATCTTACTCAAATCTCCTAAATCTTCTAGACAGTTTGCAATTCACCAATCATATACCAATTATGTATACAAACTCGACAACTAATTCCAATCTAAACTAAATCCAAATTCTAAAATAATTTTAATCCTAATCACAACTACAAATCTAAAATAGATATCAACAAGAGGATAATTATCATAATTAAAGGAGGTACTCCAATCCGACGCAGCCCTGCACATTTTCAGAATTTTAGTAATATGCCAAAAGTTAAAGAAATTCGATGAAAATAGCAAAAAAAAAAAAAAAAGGTTGAGTGAGTAATACAACCTTTCCCTAGATGTTTACCATCTCTAGACAAGATGAATAATGGTGGATTCAGAACAATTAGAATTGGGGAAATTGATGTGGTTGGCTTCATCACCGCGACGAGGGAGAAGTAATTACGGTAAAGATTAGGGCTGGACGAAATTGAAAGGGAATCCGGTGTAAAATTATGATTTTCTTCTCAAAACTAGGAGATGAAGATGACGGAAGGAAGGAAGAGATTGAAGGCGTAGGCGGCTAGGGTTTAAACTTGACGGAGCACGTCCGAAAAAAGAATTGTGCGCCCACTCGAGGAGAGAAAGAAGATGGGGAAGAAAAGAAGAAAATAAATAGATAGATCGATTTCTTTACCTTAACTTATTTCTTCGAAGAATCATTTAGGGTTCACTGTCAGTTTAATTTTCTCTTGCGCCAGACCGAAGCCTCTGATTTGCAGACACCGCTCCGCTCAAATATGGGCTGAAGTGGCCACTTCGCTTGTTGTCACTGCTTTGCTTGCAGGTGAGCTGCTCTGTGCCGCTTTAAAAATAGTCGTTTCGCTACACTTGCCTAAAATTGGCTTCGCTTGCAGACCGCTCACTTCTTCCGCTTGTTTTCGCCGCTTGCACACAGAGACACTGATGCCGCTTCGCTCGCAGTCACCGCTCTGCTTCACAAGAATAGATGTCTGCTTCTTCGGCTTTAAAATTCAATCTGAACGAACGAGCATATCATCTTGAAAATCCTGAATGAAAAAAAAAAGTAAAAATAAATAAATAAAAGAAATTATCATTATTTTATATAAAAATATTTTTATCACATATATAAAAGGGGAGAAAGGGAGCAGTCGCTCCTAAACCTAATTTTTATTTATTCTAATTATTCCTATTATTATTAGTATTTTTTTATTAATTTTTTTAATTTTTTTTATTATTGTTGATTTATCATTATAGTAATATTATTATTTATTATGATTTATTTATTATATATATAGTAAATATTATTATTATTTTTATTATTATATAATTATTACTATATGTATATTTGGAACAAAGCTGCAGAGGACGGTGCCCTGCGACCTTTTTTTTTTTTTCTGATTTTCTCCGAAAGATAAATGCCGTGCAGGTTTGATTCTCGAAGGATATCGCACTTTCGAAACCTACAAAGCATATCGTTGATGGATTAGAGGTTCAAAATAAAATTAAATTCAATATTAAAATTAAATTAGCATTAAACTCAGTATTTTCTAATTAAAACAAAGATACTAGGCTGATTCCACGGCAACGGCGCCAAAATTTGATCGAAGATTTTTTGAGAGATTTAAAAATATCTTTTAAGATACAAAAAATGATATATGTATAAAATGAAAATTGTTTCGTGCGTGTTCGTGTAGTAACTCCCAAATTTTTCGTCAAAAAAAAAATCTATTTAACCGGTGAGTGTCCGGGTCGAACTAAGGGAATATGCGAATATTCTATATTTAATTAGAAAAAGTGCAATGAGTTAATGCAATCGAAGAAACTGAAAAGATAAATTGCAGAAATTAAATCCAACTAAAAAGCGATAAAATATATATATCTCGAAAAGGATGAAGCGAGGCGTTTGTGTTTGACTTGTGCGTTCCTTAATGGTTATATTTTCATGGATGAAATGAGCGGAATGACGATGGCGTGATAGCGAAAAATATATGTATAATTGCGGGGCGGCTCGAAGGAATGAACGTGAACCTATTTGCTCACTTAAGCCGATTCTCAACTCAGTTGGTACTCGACCTTGGGGGATTTACAATGAGGCTTCAGCGACACCCGACAAAGAACATTATAAGCAAGAAACTCTACTGTCAATAGAAATTTATGTGACCCAATAGACCACCGCCTATACCCCATGAATTATTCTTCCAACCGTTCCGCTAGTGGCTCTACCCCCCTGATACCTCTCTTTAATCGAAGTCGAATTCAGAACAGCAACTAAGCACGTCGACAAGGCTCCCGCGTACTTAGCTACGTTGAACTACCCAGAATCTGTTTGTGACACGAAACAGGGCTGAAATAGTCGATTCTTTTATCGCCCTTCTGCAACCTTGCCGAAATCTAACTTGAACAATTCAAATCGAACATGGAATTTTTGGGTGAAGGTGAGATGGAGAAATATGATAGGAATTCTACTAGCTAAAATAATATGCTGAAATTAAAATGAAATAAGGAGAAAATCAGTTTACTCGCGACACAAAACCGAAAATCTCGTATTATTAAACTAGATAAAAATATGGGAGAAAAGAAATGGAGAAAATGGAGTGTATGAAATGTATATTATTGTGTATATATGGTGTATATGTGTATGGTACAATTAGAGGGGATATTTATAGGGGGAAAAGCTTCTAGAAGCTTGGCGATTACAACGCCAATAAATAACTACTTCTAAAAATAGCTATTAACTACCTCTAAAAATAACCATAAATAACTAACTCTAAGAATAGCTACTAATATAACTACTAATAACTACCTATTTTCTAGAAGGTTCTAGAATAAAAATTACACAAAAATAGCAAAAAATTTGCTAAAAAATAGTGCAGGAATTTAATTAAGGGAGCTGGGAGAGTGTAGTAAATACAGGAGCTGAAGGTGCAGCAAACATAAATGCAGTGAAATTCTGTATAGGAATTATTGTGGCGGCGCAGTAAATGCACCGCTGACCAGCGGCAATTAATACAGCCCCCGCTGACCAGTGACAGTAATTACAACCATCGCTTGCTTTTCGCGCTCATAAATGCAGCCGCCGCTTGCCTTCTGTGCTCGCGCACTCCTATGCAGCCGCCGCTCACTTCCGCGCAAGCCCACGCTTGCCTTCCGCGCCTATAAATGCAACCGCTGCTTACGGATTAATGGACGTAGAATTCCGTTTCACTCAAATTTCCGTGCAGCCGCCATCGATTTCCGTACGCCGTCATCGCTTTCCGTGCGGCCATCATCGCTCACTTTCATGCAGAGATTTCCACTCCGCTTACATTTCCGTGCAACCGCCGCTTGCCTTCCGCTAGCCGCCGCTTGCCTTCCGCGAAGCCGCCCGTTGAATTCTGCGCAGCGGTTGACTTTGACTTTCGTGTGTTGACTTTTATGCTTTGACCGTTGACTTTTGTTGATGTTCGCACCGGGAACTGTTTTTTCGCTCCTGAAGCCATTTTTTCGCTTTTTAAAGCCAGTTTTGAACTCCCGAACTAGTTTTCAAGCATTAGTTCACCAGTATAATAAACACCTTATAAATATTTATTTAAATAGATAATAAATAAAATTAATTTAACCAAAATTAAATACTTAAATAGCACATAAATAATGCCTAAAAAATATAATTCAAGAAACACATCAATTAATTCAATTTATACACCAAAACAATTATAAATTACACTTAAAAACTAATAAATTAATATTATACAAATAAGATTAAATAAATACAATTATTAGAATAAATTAACATAAATAATACCAAAATTTGACATAAATAAATAAATAATTAAATAAATATAAGTTATAAAATATGACAAAATCAAGAGTTATCAATGACTGAGGAAATTACGATAGAATAGAGGAATGTCATATTTTTTGAAAATATCTACCATTTGTATGGAGAAGATTCAGCTCAGCGTAGAACCTTTAGATAAAGAACTACGGGGTGAAATGAGACAAATGACCAGTAGCCCTGATCAAGTGATTTCAGAACATAGGCGTAGTAAAAGGACAAGGATTAAGAAAATATTTGGTCCGGATTTCGTTACATATTTGTTGGATAATGATCTATCAACGATCAGGGAAGCACTATCTAGTCCTGATGCTCCTTTTTGGAAGGAAACAATAGATAGTGGAATAGAATCAATAATGCAGAATAACACTTAGGTGTTATCTTACCTACCCAGTGGTTGTAAACCACTAGGGTGCAAATGAGTTTTGAAAAGAAAACTCAAGGCTGATGGGTCTGTTGATAAATACAAAGTCCGTCTCATAGTATAAGGTTATAGACAAATCGAATAGTTTGACTTTTTCGACACAATTTCACTAGTAATCAGGGTAACATCAATTTGAGTGCTTTTCTCATTATGTCTTTGAATAATCTTGACATTTACCAAATGGATGTGAAAATTATTTTCTTAAATGGTAAATTAAAAGAAGAGGTGTATATATGGAAAAATCGGAGCGTATGTCGTTCCTGACCAAGAAAAAAAAAGTAAGCAAACTGACAAAATCTTTATACGGACTAAAACATATATCTTATAATGACACTTAAGATTTGATAATGTCATGTTATCAAATAGTTTTAAAATAAACGAATGCGACAAATGTTTCTACGCCAAGGAAACACCTTCCGGTTTTATCATAGTTTGTTTGTATGTAGACGACTTACTGATCATGGCTAAAGAAGTCAGTTTAATCAATGAGGTCAAATGGATATTGAGTCGTAACTTTGACATGAAATATTAGGGGTTAGCCGGCATTATCCTTGGAATAAAAATTCTAAGACAAGACGAATGTATTGTTTTGACTCAATCCCACTATGAGAAAAAGATATTGAGAAAACTCCTACGACAAAATCCCGTAATTCAAGAAGAGTATGCCAAAATTATTGAAAACCTAATATACTTAACAAACTATACAAGGCCTGACCTGGCTTACCTTGTAAACAAGCTAAGTCGATACACTAGCAACCCTAGTCATGAACACTAAGAATGAAATTTACAATGGTAATTCCCGACATATCGGACATAGACATAACACTATAAGACATTTGGTCACCAGTGAAGTTTTGACTATTGAATATGTAAAGTCAATAGAAAAAATTAGCGAATCCGCTAGCTAAAGGGTTACAGAGAGATCAAATGTACAAACTGCTAAAGAGAAATGGGCTTGAAATCTACAAGATAGAGACAATTACAATGGTAACCTAACAAAATCACTTGGAAATCCTAACCTTTGGTTCAATGGAAAAACTAAACTGTGAGAGTCCGACATGAACACTCAATAACAATTCCCTGAAAAGTAATGAGTGTTATAATGTGCGAAAGCGGTGAGGTTGAGACAATGACTCTTAATGATCCTAAATGTGTGAGTTAGAAACCTTGAGACGGGACATTACCTATATAAGTGTGAAGTGTGGGTCACTTTGAACGAAACACTTATGAATCCAAAGATGAGATCCATGGACGAAATGAATCAAAACGTGAGAACAAATTTGAGGTTGAGATAGCAACACGTCGATATTATTGACTAAGTGTGCGAAGAGATGAAACAGTTCAATGCGTTACGTCAACTGGCCACCATAAATCTGTAATATTGACTATAGAAGATTCAAAGACACAAGTTACCTATCTTGATGTTTCAATGTCCGAAATGGATTGAGTTAGGCTTCTGTTTTTCTATGGGCATTTCCACTCATGTGGGAGATTGTTGAATAATCAGTTATTAATAGGTGAAATTTAATTTTAGAAAATTAAATTCAGAATTTACGCAACCAATTAATCGGTGAGTGATAATACGACGGGTTGGTGACCTAAATTAATTGGACTAATTTGGATGAAATAAATAGATATTCCCTCCGTCCCACATAATTTGTCTCTATTTTCTATTTTCGTCAATCCCACATAACTTGTACTTTCTTTTTTTTTTGGAAATATTATTATCCACTTTAATCACATTTTAAATTTAAATTTTATAATTTTCTTAATCTTAATTAAACTATTTATTTATCTTAATCTTAATCTATAATTGTTTTTACTAAATAATAATTATTTTTACTAATATACTTCTTAATTACTTACTAATTATAGTTTACTTAAATTTCCGTATCTACCGTAATAGAGGCCCAAAATATATGGGACAGATGAAGTATTATTTATTTATTACATATGGAGCTTGTTTAATATTTTGGTTATTTTGTCTATCTCGAGACAAACCAAATTATGCACCCCTAAGTTAAACACGAGTATATGGTCTAAGTCGCATAATTATCCAGATAAAATCTTATTTCAAACGAAATGTTTAAAATTAGAATAAATTACGATAATTTCAAACAGAATGTTTGAAATTAGAATAAATTATAATCGTTTTAAAAGGAATGTTTGAAATTAGAATAAATTACGACCGCCTCAAACAGAAAATTTGAAATTAAAATTAATTAAATCGGTAACTAAGGTCGTAATTAAAATTTGTAATTGATTCCGTGCCATTTTGGCCAAATGGAGACGCCTAAATTAAATCATTTGATCGTACGATTTGGACAACAAGACATGTTTGAGTTGTAACTCACTCATCCACTCCGATTGACCTCTCATTTGCGGCACCAGATAACCAACTCAAAATACTATATATCTATTAAATTTTAGGTCGATCAGATCTCTGTATGATTTATGATAAAGTTTTCAACTCAACCGTTGTGATATGAATTTTTAACGTACAATTTTCTACTCAAACGAATTTATCTCTTTTGTCCAATATTCAATCGACTTTTCTATCCGTAATATTAAAAAAATAACTTGAAGTCTGAATATAATTTAGATAAACTTGTGATCGAATTTAAAAATGTATAAATTAAAGATACCAAATAAGTCGTATTAAACAAATAATATATGACACACAAAATCAAATAATATCAAGGAATTTAAACCCTCTAACCCTCGCACCCGTAGGTTTCGTTTAGTTTACAAGAGGATGAATCTTGACTAGAGTTAACGTGTATAGAGAATAATATTAAGGATAATAATAATAAAACATTATTTCGAAACATCGGCGGGCCTCTAAAACAAAGGCAATAAAACTCTTTTGATGTTTATTTGCGTAATAGATTATTGATGGCTGAATTGGACCAATCACATTTCAGAGACACATCACAAGTACGGACGTTAATAAGGGGGAATTTTTTATTTTATTTTTTATTTTTTATTTTCAACTGCGTTGCAAAGAACAAACACTGCTTCTTCAGCTAATTACAGAAGGAATACTAATAATTACACAGTTGAGCGGTGTCGAGACTCATCACTTCTAAACCCTTTATTTCCTTCTCCCCGGGAGACCACGACAACCTTTGCAGTGCGGATTTCGGGTACATTTCTCTGCCTTCCTTACCCTGCCCGTTGACGCTCGATATACTGACTGCCGTGCTAGATTTGTTTCTGAATCATCTTGTAATTGTGTAATGGCTTTTCATGCTTTGTGATCTTGTCAGATCGATATCTTGCCGGAAAGCGGTCGGTTCCCGTGTAGCGGACTTGGATTTCGGCTATCCCCACAGGTATGATTCGTGTAGGTCTTTTTTGCGTGATCTGGAAAAAGGGATGCCGTGCTTTGAATGAATTATGTTCTTTTACCTGTTGTTTTGATTCGTGAATTTCGAATGGATGAATAGTTCTTATAAAGATCTGTAATTTTGGGCATTTCAGAAACCTGACTAGTTGAATTGATGGCAACTCCGGGAGGACCTAGGCCGGGGTCTTTCCCCCAGAACACTAACCCTAATGCCCTGGCTGATCATATGCAAAATCTTCAGATGAATCAGCCTAATCAGCAGCCATCTGGTAACTACGGTGGTGTTGGTCCTAGGCCTTCTAATGCTTCACCGTTCAACCAGCAGCCACCTCCTTTTGCTGGCAGCAGACCTGGCCCTCCCCCTCCCGGTGTGTTTCCCAGGGGCCCTATGCCTCCGGGTGCTCCTGTTAGACCTACTGGTCCTTCACAGCCCCCTCCATTTGCATCGAGGCCTCCACCGCCTGGGGCATTGCCATCTTCCTTGGCAAGACCTTCAGTTCCCCCACCTGGGGCAGGTCCTCGATCAGCACCTTTTTCATCTTCGCCTTTGACTTCAGTCCCTCCAATTCCATCTCAATTTGGTGCACAAGGTCCATTTAATAATGGACCGCCCTCAGTTCCCCCAGTTACGGCCCAAAGTGGTCCACGCTTCCCTCCAAATGTGGGTACTATGCCAAGGCCTTCAGTTGGACCTCCACAGCCTCCAACAATGCTTTCATCTGGTGCAACTTCTCAGTCTTCACAAATGCGGCCTAGCTTTGGTAGTCCACCTGCTGGTGCAATACCTTCGATAGGGCAACCAGCTCCACCGTTTTCTGCCCCACCCTCAAGCATGCCTCCTCCTCCTCCTCCGGGTTCGTCGCCATTTTCTCCATCTGTTCCCGGGACAGTTCAAGCATCAGGTTCTCCTTTTGGGATGCAGACATGGCCGCCACAACCACAACAGGTTAGTATTTTTTGCTACATATTTTTCTCTTGTGATTTTATTGATTTCTTTTGAATTATACATTCGTTCTCATTGTTTGTTTTTCTTTTGAATTGTTTATGTTATATTAAATGCTTGTACTATATTTTTCAGTTTAATGAGAGATGAATGAACGCCTAAATTTATTTGAACAGACCTACGTGAACTCACTTTTGAAGTAGCATAAATTGGGATTCAATGAATTGAAAGAAACTATATGCTTCATTGTGTCTTCTCTGTGATGGTTTGGTGAAATACCGTAACTTAATGACATCACATGATTTTTCGGTATCCACAAAAGGTTTTAGGATGTGTTTGTTTGTGGGTTTGGATTTTTTGTTGGGATTTAAATAGTAAAAAATTTGAATTTGAATAGTTGTATGATGTGATATAAATAGGTGTTGATATGATGTTTTGAATGTAAAACTGATTTTTAGTATAATATAAAAAATAAAAAAAAAGATGTTTGATTTGATGTTTTTTAGGGGAAAAATTTTAATGAATAGTATTATTTTGTTTGATTTGATGTTTTTTAGGAGAAATTTTTTAATGAATAGTAGAACTTTGGTAAAATGTGATAAAAGAACACACCCTTAGTTTTTTTTGAGTTGCATGACAAATCAAGCATTTGGTTCAGGCGGCTCCACCTCCCTCTGGTCCTATGCAGCCCCCACCACCTCGGATGTTTGGGATGCCACCCGGACCTCCTGCACTTCCAAATCAATCTATGGCTTTGGGTCAAACAGGGCAGTCCAGAATTGATCCCAACCAAATTCCTCGCCTTGCTGCAAGTTCTTCCGTAATTTTGCATGAGACACGTCAGGACAATCAAGCAAATCCCCCTCCAGTATGTAATGCCTTATATTTATTGGGTTCCATTTGCTGCATGTACCACAAAATCTTCAGTTATTTTTTATTTTTGCTTGTATTATACTCCAAGTTGTCATTAACAATTATGGAGTTACACTTTGTTTCTGATTCGATATTTCATCTTTTCTTTTGAAGCCTGCAACAAGTGATTATATAGTTAAAGACACTGGGAATTGCAGTCCACGATATATGAGGTGTACGATAAATCAGGTTAGATATCCAATGGCATCATTACGTGTACCTCCATTCAGCAATTGATGTTGATCCCTGCTCAATTTTTCTTGACCAATATTAATTGTACCTTGGCTATGGTTATATTAATATGACTATATCTTTAATTTATTAGATTCCTTGCACGGTTGATCTTCTTTCAACATCTGCAATGCAATTGGCTTTACTGGTCCAGCCTTTAGCTATTCCGCATCCCTCCGAAGAACCCATACAAGTAATGCTCAACCTTCCTTTTCTGTTTTCACTCTTCTCACTCCCTCTATTGTGTTTTATATTTTCGTATTTCCTGGTAGAATATATGGATGGCCTATTTTCGTAACTTGTCGTAATATAAGGAAGTCTGTTTTCTGTATTATTATCAATTACAAGATTAAACATCGTTGTTGGAAATCCTCAATTTGTTACATCATGAATTCGTTTGCCCATATCTATCCACAAAGCATGAAGATTAATGTTTTGGAGGTATTCAAAGGTACTAAAAAGTTCCTCATAAAGTTATTTGGAAAAGATCTTTGCAATGGTGGACAAACATTTTATGCTTTCTATTCCTTTTCACTCAAATGGTCTCAGATTGAAAGATTTTTACATTTTGTGTGCTTTGGTGTTGATTTGTCTATGTATGGATTTTTATGCAGAGCAATTTAATAAATATTTGCCATGATTCCTTGTATCCCATTTTCTCCCCCGTACTTTTAGTGGGTCTGCCTTTTTCAGAATGGGTCTTGAATGCAAGTGTAGGTTGTAGAGCTACTTTGAAATTTTTAAGGAGTTGAAATTCTGGCCTATGCAAAGCTAATTAAGCAATTTTCAGTTAGTATATATGAACATTGAAGCAAAAAGATGGCAATAAGATAGTAAGTTAAGCTCTGTTTATTGACTTGAGGCTTCAGGTTATAGCCTATTTACAAATCACCTATGATGAACTGGAGATAATCTTATTGTAAACATTACAATTGCTGGAGCTTTATGTTCTGAATAAATTGTTGGAAGAATCACTCATTGCATTCCTTAATATGTATGAACTGGAGATAATCTTATTCTAAACAATACAATCGCTGGAGTTTTATGTGCCTGAGTAAATTGTTCGAATAACCACTCATTGCATTCCTTAATTTTATATAACTGGAGACAATCTTATTCTAAACACTACAATTTCTGGAGTTTTATGTGCTGAGTAAATTGTTGGAAGAATCACTCATTGCATTCCTTAATATGTAATGCATATATGTTCCATTTGTTAGTTTTCTGTTAACTTGTTATTATACTATGGTGAGCAATTACCATTTCTTGAAAATAATAATGAAATTTTGTGAATGTTTTCTTGTGCTTGTTATTAGTTTCTGACCCAAAAACATTATAGAATGAAATATGTGTCATAAAATTTCTGGTGAATGATTGGCAATATTGCTGAGGCAATGACCAGTTGTTTATATTTGTACTAATTATATTTATATGTATTTTGGCATCCACATAAAAATTTCAAACTCCCTATTACCAAACATGTCTTTTTTTATTAATAACATCCTTTCTTTCTTACACAAATATAAATAAATTCAACAACATAATGAATATCCAGTATTTACTGTGAGTTCAATTCAAATTCAAATGGATTCACCACAAAACTTATATTCTGATTTTTAGAACCAACGACTTCCCATATATTCAAAGACTCCAATAATTATATCTATACCAAAATAAATAAATAAATAAAAGAATACAGTTAAAATATGCATTTCAAACTTCTTTCACTTAGGGCTTGTTTACTTTACAATTTTCAGTACTTGTTCCTTATTCTTGTTGTTGTCTTCTGTCTGAATAAACACGTTTTCTTGTAATAGATTGAAAACAGAAATAATGAGTTCATTCTATGTTATGCCCAAACCATTGATTGTTGTATGGGCCATTCTACATGTAATTTCAATTCCGTATAAGAGTTTTACTTATGAAGTTTTATTTAGGAAAGGAAACATTTTGTTTGCTCTCAAATATTTACTAGGACTTTTTGTGAGAGGGCAAGAAAATCCTAGTCATTATATTTTGATGGTCTTAATAGACTTTTTTTCTCGGAAATTTATTATGGGTGTTCTTTTATCAAATTTTACCAATTTTTTACTATTCATCCAAAAATTTTCCCTAAAAATATCAAATCAAATATTTATTTTTCATTTTATATATTATACTTAAAATCAATTTTACATTCAAAACATCACGTTAACAGCTATTTATATCATATCATACAACTATTCCAATTCAAATTTTTACTATTCAAATTCCAACAATAAATCCAACCTCCAAACAAACACACCCATAAGACTTCATATTCAGCCCTAGGATAGTCCATGATTATGCTACGTATGAATTTCATTTGACTTCATATGTTGAATTAGAATATTTGATATCTATAGCTACTGTGGTTGGTAGGTGGTTGATTTTGGTGAGAGTGGACCAGTTCGATGTTCTCGTTGCAAAGGCTACATTAATCCTTTTATGAAGTTTATTGATCAAGGAAGGCGCTTCATTTGTAACTTATGTGGTAAGGATATCCTCATCTTTTAATTTTTCATAAGTCATTAATTGCATGGAAGGAATTCCATTATCAAGGTAATAAACCTGGGATTCGTTGCTTTTCATTTTGTTTTATTTTTCTCTTGCATTTGTTATGTATAGAAAAACTTGAAACAATATCGAACTGAATGTGTATGGGACAAAATTTTCAATTTGTATTATGCCTAAAATCTTGTATACTTGAATGCTATTTTACCTCGCTCCAATGTTTTATTAATTACTGTAATGGTTATTTTTTGTCATGATTTGTGAATTGCATTTTTGCTGCTGCTATTTTCTAGTAAGTTCTGCATTCTGTGATTTATCAAACTTCTTGTCTGCACGTCAATTTCCTTGCAGGATTCACAGATGAAACTCCACGTGACTATCACTGTAATTTAGGCCCTGATGGTCGGCGCAGGGATGCTGATGAGAGGCCTGAATTGTGCAGGGGAACTGTAGAATTTGTTGCTACTAAGGAGTACATGGTTTGTATCTTGTGCAAATCAATAGTTTGGAATTTGATAAGGATGAAAGTTTTTTATTGGAAACTGGGGCAAAAGATTTTAAACTGTCAGTTTCAGAATGGATACAGAAGCTTGTTATCTCACTTGACAACTGGAAAAAAGGATCATGGAATTGATTCTTTAGTAGATAGGATGAGGATTCTTAAGTTCAATGTAGCCATTTGCTTAAGGGGTTGAAGATGATATTTGAAACATAATTATAGCTAATTTATGCCGCTTCCATGCTGCTTCACAATGTGAGGATTGAAGTATCAATTTCATCTGATATTAAGAAATTAGGTTGTAATGTGGAGCATTGCCATTTCAAATGTCTAGTGGCAGAGGAAAATATCATAAATTTTTTAATGAAGATTACCCAATGATATATTATCTAAGATTTTTGACTTCTTTATGTGTAAATCAGTTTTGCCTCCTAATTTGTGGTATAATCTTCTGAATCTAATATTATTTATTTTCTAAACACTAACCTAAAAAATTAGCTAAAGGTACCAACCAAACAATTTTCAAAGATATTCATGTCAACTATGTAGGAGTAATTTAATGAGACAAGATGAATATGAAAATAGGTTGAGATGATTCTTTTGTTTGTGGAAATCTTGGACTTTCTGCAAACTTGGGGAAAAGATTCTTGTATATTACTTTAAATTTTGTGAGCATGTGTGGATAGTTGTATTGAAACTTCTCAGCTATTATGTTGCATGGTCCATCTAATGTTGTTCACATTTGAAATTTTGTGCCATCAGGTGCGAGATCCAATGCCTGCAGTATTTTTCTTCCTTATTGATGTATCAATGTATGCCATACAAACTGGTGCAACTGCCGCTGCTTGCAGTGCAATCAGCCAAGTTATATCTGATCTTCCTGTAAGTGAAGTTTATGTCCTAAATAAGAAAGAACATGTAATTTGAGTCCACTTTGTGAGGCTATTACTTACGTACTTTTCTGAATTTCAAATTCAAGCATTGCATGTTTAGAATTACAATCACAGCTATCCACTCTGTAGTGTTCAAAAGGTTTCTGTTACTACACATTTAAGTGTAAGCTTCTTCAATCAACTGAATTGACATGTTTTTACCCTGAATCTGGAAGGTGTGAACCCCTTTCTAAGATTATATGATCTAATGCTTACCTTTTTATCTTTCATTTCAAGAAATTTTTGTGCTACTTCATTCAAGTTTTGTTGAATAGGACCAGGTCCAGTATTGTTGGACACTGATTTCCCAGAAAAAATTGAAAGCATAAAAGCATTGGTATTGATCAAATATTTTATTGCAGGAGGGTCCTCGAACATTGGTGGGTATTGCTACATTTGACTCCACCATTCACTTTTACAATCTAAAACGTGCTCTGCAGCAGGTTGGTTTAGATTTATCTGCCATTTAGTCATCAAATTGAAACAATTTTCTTCTCTATAAAATCATATGAGCCCTTTTACTGTTGCTATTGGCTTATTTTCTATGACATTATTACTCATTGTTAATTTGTGATACCTCTAAAGTGTTCTATGTTGATAACCTTATCCATTATGTGAGATAAACTTCTCAGGCTATTGAATAAAGTTCTGCGGCATGCTAAATTTGCTTTTCTTCTGATTCATGGCAGCCTTTGATGCTTATCATTCCTGATGTGCAAGATGTCTACACCCCTCTCGAAAGTGATGTTATTGTTCAACTTTCTGAGGTTGGTTTTCATATTTCCATTGCAAGTTTATTGGCGTGCTGAATGAACCCTAAGCCTAAGCTGCTATATGAATTCTCACTCTCTTTCATTTTTCTCTTACTCTCTATAGCTTTCTCCTTTTGATTATTGGGGAGCATTAGGTGTTCAATGTGAGGATATTTCTTTGAGTTAACAATCTTCAATTAAATGCAGTTGTTTCTATTTTAATAAATGCAGTGCCGTGAACATTTGGAGATGTTGCTGGAGAGTATCCCTACAATGTTTCAGAACAATAAAATTGTTGATTCTGCTTTTGGTGCTGCAGTAAAGGTGTGAGATTCATGCTTTTAATATTAATTTATATGTTTTAAACATGTGTACATACTATGTTAATCTGTATGATTTTAACATGGTGAAAAAAGGAAACCTTGTCTTAGTTAAAAGAAAATTCCCAGTACTTGTGGAATTAGGAATATAGCTTTTTAGAACTATGTAATGTTTATTTTCTATAACACAAAGGTTTGTGGGCTTCGGGCATGAGATATTGTTAAGATAGGTAGGTTGGGAACTGTAGGGAACTAGGGATTCTAGTTAGTGTAGCGCATTACAATCCATCAGGAAGAATCAATCAATCCCTTGCCTTTGCTGGTTGGTGACAATTTAGCACATACAATTAAATTTATAGTTATTTCCTTGCATATAATTTGTATCTTATCACTATTCATTGTCCTTTTGATAATATACTGTTCATTTTGTTTTCTCTTTTCTTACTCTAGGCTGCTTTCTTGGCTATGAAAAGTACTGGTGGCAAACTTCTTGTCTTCCAATCAGGTAAAACTGAATTAATTTTTTATTGAAAATTTTTATTTTCTTGAATGTAATGGTGGATGTTTCCAGAAATAAATGTCCCACACATGGCATTTTTTGGATAAAAATTTCCTGTCTGCAAATATTGACCCTAAACTATAGCTTGTGGGTATACAAGTATATATGAATTGGGGACAGTTGGTGGAAAGTATGGAATGGAAAAGAGAAAAGGTTAAAGGAAGGGTTTATGTTCTGTCATTTCGTAACCAATTTCAAGGACAGTTTGTAAAAATGTTCCATCAAATAATCTCATCTACCTTTTTAACTGTGTAAATGACCAATTGTCAAACCTGTTTGTGCCACTAACAACATTTACAAGGAATGAAGTAAATTAATTTTAAAAATTTTCTTACTTTGATATCTCCAAAATTCTGGGCCTCTTATTATTGAGCAGAATAAAGTATCATTTCATAGCTTTATGATCATAATTTGTGATATGACAGTATTGCCTTCAACTGGTGTTGGATCGCTTTCTGCTAGGGAATCGGAAGGCAGAAGTAACATATCAGCAGGAGAAAAGGTAAAACTGCTGTTTATGTCATATAGTGTTCATCACTTTTGAACTGTATGTATGAATATTAATGTGCATGCATACATGCATGTACTTTCCTTTTCATAAAAAGTTTTGAAAAAAAAAGAAAAGAAAAAAGGATTATTTGCATTCGATGACACCCTTGATCTTAATTATTTATTCTGTTGCAGTCTTTTTTGTTCTCCAGTGTCAGGGAATTTTCCCGTTTTAGTCAGGAGGTGTCATATCAGAGTGTAGTTTTCTATTTTTCTTCTCATTTGCTCCTTACAATTTGTGAATGCACGCAGTTATGCTTAGTAAAATTTTAATTATGATAATACAAATAAAATTATAATGAGAATTCTGCTATACTATCTCCATGTGGCTAATTTGGATTCAAAAGTCTGTACCGTATCATCTATAAGATTCTCTGTATAATTTCTAGCATATATCTCAACATGCATGTGAGTTGACCTATTAATTGGCAAAGCGGTGTGATGCAAAAGGAAAATAGGAAACAATGAGATTTAGGCTTGGGTTTGGATGAATGTGTTGTAGAGGATAGGCTTAAACCCAAAACAGCAGTATTTTCATTTTTCACATCAATCATTTATAATTCTCTATAGCTGTTTAGCTTCATTAAAACTTCATTCTCATCCTTGGACTTCAAAGGAAAAGTGCCAAGGTTGTATGGAAATTATGTTGTGTTCTGTTAGTTCTATTGCAATCCGTGCTCTATTTATCCTGTTAATGCTTGCACTTCAGGAGGCTCACAAATTACTCCAACCAGCGGACAAAACCCTTAAAACTATGGCCATTGAATTTGCAGAATACCAGGTGGGAGTCAAACTTTTTCCAAATTACACAGGATGTTTCCAAACAAAATGTGAATATATACACATATTTTGATTTGGGATTAATTTAATTCTTTTTTCTAATATTTCCAGGTCTGTATCGACTTGTTCATAACTACTCAATCATATGTAGACATTGCTTCACTCTCTGTTGTTCCAAGAACTACTGGAGGGCAGGTATTTTACAATGGATCTGGATTCTTATGTATAGTTGTTGAATATCATTCTTTATTTAGCAATTACATCATTTATTACCCTAGGTTTAACTTCGTGCTTACTGTACTACTGTTTATTTTCAGATGCCTAATTTAAAAGCTACCAATTCATGTTGAAATGGCTCTGGATATTAATTCCTTCTTTTTGTCTAGGTGTACTATTATTATCCTTTCTCGGCTCTTTCTGATCCTGCTAAGCTGTACAATGATCTTCGCTGGAATGTCACAAGGCCCCAAGGATTTGAAGCGGTGATGCGTGTTAGGTGCAGTCAGGTGAGTATCCTATACTTTTGGATATTGCTTGCTTAAGATCAAAAAATTACTTGGAGAAATTATGTCTCGTTAGTAAGCGGAAGTGATATTGATTTTCTTTTTCCAATATTTTTTCCCCTGCATTAGGGTATTCAAGTACAGGAGTATTCCGGAAACTTCTGTAAGCGCATCCCAACTGATGTTGATCTACCTGCGGTATGTATCTATTTCTCTTAATTTATTGACACAATATATACCCATGCTCTATTCAGTTCTCAAAATATGTATCTTTATAGATTCTTGTATTAATTTGCAGGGCTAATCTTATATTAGCAACAGAATCTGTTAATATCTCTACTTGCATTTTTTGTAAGCCTATGCTAGATAGTGACCCTTGTTTTCAACGCGTCTCCAACCAACAACTGAATCTAATATTGGCAGCTTATATATATATATATATATATATATAGGTTTCTTTGTTGCTACCTTGTATATATGTATCTTGTATAACTGGATATGATTTCTTACCACAAACAGGGAGTTTGGTTATGTCTATTTTGGGTGGTGGCAGTTCATAGAGTTCTTTTGGACTATCTATCATTGTATTCTGTACATATGTGTTTCTTTCTCTTTGTTTTTTTAGTTTTCTGACCCTATAGTTTCAAATAATTTTCTTCTTTGTTGATTTTTTTTTCAGCTCTTTTATTACTCTCTCAAACTAGATTACTTAATTGCTTAGAGAAACTATTATTTGCTAGCATTCTTGAATCTAGCCTTCTCCAATTTATGCTAATTGTTGGTATAGAAATTTTAATCCAAGATTATATACATATATATATATATATTCCCAGATCGATTGTGACAAGACAATAATGGTGACGCTAAAACATGATGATAAATTGGCAGAAGGATCAGAATGTGCTTTTCAGGTAAATAGATTCATTTTGCTTGAAGAATTTCTAGTATATACTAGATTTCTTGAGACGTTTTCTTTACTTTCCGAAGGAAAATGAGATGGCTTCTAAGTGATTTATTTTTATTCTATATGCTTGGAACTTGTTGATTACTTGATGGGCGCAGTGTGCTCTTCTTTACACCACTGTCTATGGCCAAAGAAGAATTCGGGTTTCAACCTTGTCCCTTCCATGTACCAACATGTTGAGTAATCTGTTCCGATCTGCTGACTTAGACACTCAATTTGCTTGTGTCCTGAAACAAGGTAATTGGCTGTTAATTTTGAGAAAAAAATTTGGTCGTGGAAGTGGCAAAAGAATTTGATATGTCTGTCACTCGTCGTTTCTTTAATGATTCTAACCTTGCCTTGACACCTATGTTTGCATTTTTGAACCCCTCCAGGTGTCACTTTGTAAGCATGCATGAATGTCACCATTCGAGTGACAAGTAATATATAAAATTATTTCTAGACAAGGTTCGCTAGGTGTATTTGGCTGGGGGATTTTGTCACAAATTTTACTATTGACTAAATATGCCCCTCCCCCCCCCCCCATCAAATCACACTTATTTTTTATATTATACTAAAAATTAATTTTATCACATCAACACGTATTTATATTACATTATACAACTATTGAAATTCAAATTTTTTACTATGCAAATTCCAAATTCAAAATCCAACCCCCAACCAAACACAACCAAAGGATCAAAATTAAAAGGATGCACTTACAAGACCAACATTGCATTTTTCCTGTTAATTTTTGTTGAATTTTCAGTATTTGGTTTACCCTCAGCAGCTGGTGTTTTATTGTGCTTGGTTTTCTTCTAGAACAATAATAAGTTATGCATCTGATATTTCCCTTTCTTCTGATGTTTGTAAATGATTTACCTTATTGACATGATATACTTTACTCAGTCAAATGGTCTTATCTTTCGTCACTTTTTGACATCTGTTGTTCATATATTTTAACTTTGGTACCATGTTTTTGTGTTTTCTAATAACATTTTTCCCTTAAAATGACAGCGGCTAATGAAATTCCATCAGCTCCCCTTGGTCAAGTCAGGGATCAGGCCACAAATGTTTGCATTAACATTTTATATTCCTATCGCAAGTTCTGTGCTACAGCATCCTCTTCTGGACAACTCATTCTGCCTGAGGCACTTAAATTGTTGCCTCTATACACACTTGGTATGTTTCATGCCATCGAACTAAATAGTCTTATTTGATGAATGCTGCTTTCTTAATTACTTGGAAATATATATTGTCCTGGCTAGACTTGATTACTGTAAAGGTAATTCAACATGTGCAAATTTCTTATTTTCAATGTTAATGCAAAAAGGAGCTCGTATATATAATTCTAGCTGTTTATACCACTTACACGGCCAAGGGAAAATAAAGAAAAAAGATACATAAAACGGAAGATCTGCCCACGAAGAAGATAAAATATTGTACAATCAATCCCTGAGGAGATTTAATGGGTATATTATATCAGATATGATGGGTATATTATGCTAGAGTTTGCTGGTTTTCTTTCTGGGGTAGGTTTTCAATACATATGTAATATGGAATTTTCTTCTCCTTGTATTAATATTTATACAAGACTTATATTTTATTTTGTTACGATTCCTCTCTCATTTCAAATTTTATATACGAAAGCACTTACTTTGTGGACAACTTTGTTTTTCCCATTTTCAGCTTTGCTTAAAAGCAATGGATTGCGGTCTGATGGACGGATAGATGATAGGTCCTTCTGGATAAATTTTGTTTCTCCTTTACCTACTCCCTTGGTAATCCCATTGGTCTATCCAAGGATGATATCGATTCATGACCTTGATGAAAAGGTACAAACTCAGGATTGGTGCATGTCAGTATGGTAAAGTGTATTTACACTCTTCTCATTTCTTAATGATAAATTGTCAGGAGGAGTCCGATGATGCTTCTATTCCTGCTTCTATACCACTTTCCAGCGAACACATATCTGATGATGGAATATATCTTCTTGAAAATGGCGAAGACTGCTTAATATATATTGGTAGCACCGCTCAGGAAAATGTTCTGCAGAAGCTTTTCAACGTTTCGTCAGTCGAAGAAATTTCAAATCAGGTTCTCTTGCATATACTTGAAGGCTCTTGCCCTTATTTTAAAGTCTTTGCACAAGTGTTGACACTGTATTTTTGTAATTTGGGAGCACACTTATCATCTGCTATAACCAAGCTCGTCTTACAATATGTACTGATTTATGTTGAATGTATTGCATTATAGGTAAGAAAATAACATTTTTGGCATTTTGCCACTTCAGTTTATTTTGCAGCAATATGAGAATCCATTGTCGAAGAAGTTGAATGCTATTGTCAATGAAATAAGGCGCCAACGATTTTCATATCTACGGTAACAATCATGCTCTTCTGATACTCATGGAACTGTACATGTACTCACATGATAACTAATTTTCTTGTTCATTTCTCTCTTTGTGTAACGCAGCTTGAAAATTTGCAAAAAGGGCGAATCATCAGGTTAGTGTCTGAGAAATCACTATTTATACGAATGACTCAACTTTCTTGGTTTGAATACCCAAGCCCAACTGCACTATACCCCCCCGTGTCGTCTTCTTTCCAGCTTCGTAAAATATGATATGCATCTTTCCCGGTTTTCTTTTCCTTTTCAGGGATGATGTTTTTCTCGTACATGGTCGAAGACAAAACACCGGGTGGCCCATCATATGTTGAATATCTAATACATATTCATAGACAGATTCAGAGCAAAATGGCTTGAAGATAGAGATGCGCGAAACTGCCAACCACCTGAATCTGAAGCTGGCAGAAGAATGTGGCTACCTCATTATGCGCCGGAGAGGCCGAGCTGAGCTTTTTCAGGAGAGGATTTTAATGAGATCGTATCATATTTTGTTTTGATGGTTCCTACATAGCAATAAGTTACATCATCTCTTGTGGCTGCTTTTTCTTACATTCTTTTGAACTGTGGAAGGAAATAGGCTATTGTTTTGTTTTGTTTTTCAAGGATCAGATCGGATCATACATATTCTCCGGGCTTACCATGATACATGCATACCCTATGGACCCCACCATTGTTCATTTATGTTAAAAACATATATACAAAATACTTTTTTGTTTTGTTGCTGCAAGTTTACCGAGTATGCAACAACCGACCCATCTATCTATCTATCTATCTATATATATGTCCATTTATTTGGATTCGAAAGGGATAGATATATATTGTCATTCAAATTTATGTTATTAGTTTTTTCTTTTCTTTTTTTTTTTTTTGAAAATGGTCATGTTTTCATTTTTAATAGAAATATTGAAATTCCTGTTGTAATATTAGTATATGATTAGCATATTAATTATTTTTACAGCTAATCACTATTTTATACATTGTATATAATGTTATATAGTATAATGTAGATATATATATATATAGAAGTATGTGGCTTCTATATATTATAATATATATAGTTTAGTGTGTATATATATGATGTATGTATTATAGAAAGAGGGACATTGATTAGTTGGAGTAAATGAATGTTGCGTTTGATTCTATTCATCTTATATTTATATTACAAGTTATAGTAAGTAGAAGGATTTGTTTGAGCCACGTAGCATCCACGTTTTGTACACAAAAATACTATGTATATAACATTCTCCATTGGATGCTTTTATACAAAGAACGTGTCTCGTTAAAATCTTATTAGAAAAAATATCATGTGGAAAAAAAAATTCCAGTGAATGTAAAAGAGTACAACATTCTTGTAGTTATTTGCTCCCCCGATATGAGCATTATTTGAGATCTCTGAACCGATGCATTCCAATTTTCTTCACCAATTCTTCAAAAGTTGCAGTCGGTAATACCTTGGTTAATATATCCGCCAAATTATTATCTGATCCAATTTTTTGCACACTAATTTCACCATTCTGTTATAGATCATGAGCGAAAAATTTTTTTGGTGAAATATATTTCGTTTTATCTTCTTTAATGTAACCCCATTTCAATTGGGTTATACAAGCCATATTGTCTTCATATGATGTAGTTGGGAGAATTTTATCGTCAGGTATTAACCCAAAATTTTTCAGAATATGTTGAGTCATTGACCTCAACCAAACACATTCTCGACTAGCTTCATGTATTGCCAATATTTCAGCATGATTTGAAGAAGTGACCGTTAAAGTTTGTTTCATTGATCTCCAAAATATCACAGTTCCGCCACAAGTAAATATATAGCCAATTTACGACTTGGCTTTATGAGGATCCGATAAATATCCTGCATCGGCAAATCCAATTAATTCATGTTGAGAATCTTTCGAGTAAAATAACCCAAGATCAATTGTTCCTTGGAGATAATGAAAAATGTGCTTAATCTCATTCAAATGTCGTCAAGTAGGCGATGAGCTGAATCTTGCCAATAAATTTACAGCAAATGATATATCAGGTCTGGTGTTGTTAGCAAGATACATCAATGCACATATAACACTCATATATAGCACTTCTGGGCCAAGTGTTTTTTCATTTTCCTCTTTTGATTTAAATGGATCCTTTATTGGATCGAGTGCTCTAACGATCATTGAGATACTTAGCGGATGTGACTTATCCATCAGAAATTGTTTCAGTACCTTTTTGGTATAATTTGATTGGTGAATAAAGGTTCCACTCTCCAAATGCTCAATTTGCAAACCAAGGCAAAATTTAGTTTTTTCAAAATCTTTAATCTCAAACTCTTTTTTCAAATATTCAACAGCTTTCTGGATTTTATCAGGAGTTCCAATTAAATTGAGATCATCGACATACACAACGATAATTACAAATTCTGACCCATTTTTCTTTATAAAAACACATGGACAAATATGGTCATTTATGTAACCTTCTTTTGTTAAGATTTTGCTGAGACGATTATACCACATTCGGCTCGATTGCTTGAGCCCATACAAAGATTTTTGCAATTTGATGGAATATGATTCTTTTGGCTTTGATTTGAATGATTCAGGTATATTAATCCCTTCTGGAATTTTCATGTAGACATCATTTTCTAAGGAACCATAAACATAGACAGTAACTACATCCATTAATCGCATATCAAGATTATTGTATACTGTCAGACTCACCAGATACCTGAATATTATTCCATCCATGACCGGCGAATATGTTTCTTCAAAGTCAATGCCAGGTCTCTGGGAAAACCCCTGGGCTACAACCCTTGCTTTATATCTTGTGATACCATTATTTTCATTTTTTTTCTCACAAACAACCACTTGTAGCCAACAGGTTTTACATTTACAGGTGTTTGGACTATAGGGCTGAACACTTATCGTTTATTTAATGAGTCCAATTCAGACTTAATTGCGTCTTTCCATTTTGCCTAATCATCTCTTTTCCGACATTCATCAACTGATTTTGGTTCATAATCATCGTCATCTTTCATTATATCGAGTGCTACATAATATGCAAATGCATTATCAATATTTGTTTTCTTTCTGTTCCAATATTTTCCACTGGTGGTATAGTTAACAGAAGTTTCAATAACTTCATCTTCACTTTCATCAGAATTTTTAATATCAACCTCTTCAGGGATTGTACTGACCTTTTCAGGTATCCGATTGTTGTTGATTTCTTCACCAGTATTTACAATTTTCTTCTTTCGTGGATTCTTATCCTTGGAACCCAATGGCCTCCCACGTTTTACGCGGAAAGTATGCTCATTAGCACTCGGCACCTTCCTTTCTGGAGGATTTATTTTAGCTGGTGCATTTACTGCTACAATATATGATTTCGTAACTCTGGCAGCATATTTAAAAGCATCAGGAAATTGATTTGTAATTTTCTACAAATGCACAATTCTTTGAACTTCAAGTTCACTATGTTTTGTACGAGGATCAAATTCAAGTGGTATTTTCCACGAAATTTCTTTGTTCAGTTGATTATTGTCTCCCCCTAATGTTGGGAAATGAGATTCATCAAAGTGACAGTCTACAAACCTCGCAGTAAATAAATCACTCGTTGTTGGTTCAAGATATTTTGCGATCGAGGGTGATTCATACCCGACATATATACCCAATCTTCTTTGAGGTCCCATTTTTGTACGTTAGGGTGGCGCAATTGGCACATAAACAGCACACCCGAAAATTCGCAGGAGAGATATATTTGGTACTTTTTCAGATACCAATTGAGTAGGGGAATAACATTGATAATTTTTCGACCTTATTTTCACGAGGGCTGTTGCATTAAATATTAAATATGATGACTAATATTTTGAGGAAATTATAATTGATAAACAAATTTTGTACAAAGTCATGTTGGCAAAAAATATAATATTTGTTCCTTTCGTTTGTTTCTTGTTTCTTTAGATTCGGAATGTTTGAATTTTTGTTTAAATAATAATTGTAAAAATGTATTCAAATTAGAAATTGAAGGAATTGTAACTTTAGAAAAAAAGAACAGTGATTTGTTGCAATCTTTAATTTGATTTATTCCTCAACAGGTTGTATATTGTTAAGGGCAGGAAGTCGATCTTAGAGTATATTCAAGGTTAAAGCTTCAATGACAAGGCATTGCGGTGGCGATGGTGGACAAAAAATCTTTGCTGGAAGAGATAGGCCCCTCGTAATGATCACCTCATTGATAGCCATCTCTGCATTTCCGATTATTTACCTTACTGTGAAGGACCCAAGTCAGCTTGTTAGGTGCTCAACTAGCATTGGAAGAATAATCAGTTGGTTTTTAATTATGTTAAGAAATTCAGTGGTTTAGAGTTAGTCCAGTAGTTCTTGGAAATTACTGGCTGGCATATGCATGTGTATGTCTATGATTAGATGATACCTACCTTATATTGTCTTCATTAAATTTATCAAACAATAATATTATTCTGCCCCACTTATAACTATAAATTAAATATTATATGTAATTGGTGTAATAGCTAAACAAGCCATACTTGTTAGGTGTTGTTCAGATTAATGTTTACAACAACTGTTTAGTTCTCATTTATTTGGAAATGTTAACTTTCCATTCAAATCCTATAAGAATAATGATGATTTTAGAATTGGTGGCTTCTTCTAAGGTTGAAGCAAACAACAGACAAAGTTGTAAATCTGTAGAACAACAGTGTCATTGGCAAGACACTCTTCTCCATCTCATCTCAAGTATCTAATTGATACAGCTAGAAATATTATTCATTTAATGTATAATTCACTGTAATTTTTGTTGGAATGAATCATATGAAGTAATTTTTGTGAATGAATAAATCTTGGTATCTACAAATACTAAAAATTTTTGTGAGTGACATATATTGACAACTAAGGATTTTGAGATATTGTTGATCATGTGAATTAATTTTGCTGTAAAAATATTTAATTATTGAATTATGGTTAAATTATACAACTGGATGGATTTTTTCTTTAAAAAATTCAATAAATCTCATTTCTTTTCACAATTATAGAGAATTTTTCTGTAAAATAGCACACAGGTCTTCTGCTTAAGTTGTATATTACCATAATAATGAAATCTTTAGATACTTTTAAATTATGCTCTAGAATTAAATTTTCAGAAACATTGAAATGAAGCCAGGTTGTGATATGAGATTATAACATCAATCAAGTGGTGCCTAGAACGTAAACTAGTATGAGAAATCAATCAAGTACCAGCATCACAATACTTTTATATTGTTACAAAACTAAACTAACACCAGCATGGTGTGAAAGTGAAATGCAAAGCAATATATGTGGATTTTGGTACATTCCTTGGCATTATCATTACATATAAACCTATAAATAAGATTTGTTGTTAGACAAACATCAAATTTTCAACCTTTAAGATCCAATAAAGATCACAATTATTGTTTTCTGCAATCACAGTATCTTTCAAACCATTGCATGATCAGATAAGTTCCATATCATTGCAGGATAGGAACAATTACATCTGCACTAAAATATCAAGGGATCCACAAACATATGTGCTAAGTGGACACCACAATTCCACACTTCCATAGATAGAATTCATTAGGATCTATGCCAAGACAGATCTAGCACATACAAAAAAGGGCCAACCACTATTATATCAGGAATTGATTCCTTCCCCAAGGAGTATGCATATGACTACGGTTGAGAGTGTATTTCTGAAAAAATGATAA